TGAATGTCCCCTTTTATGATAAAACCATAGTTGCATTCTAGGAGCATCCTGGAGTCTAATTGGTGAATAGCTGTTGCTGCGCTCACCCTGTTGTAGGGAGTTGATGGTGACTGTAGCGGACATGAACAAGCTAAGCAGAGAGGGTGAGGCAGACTGGTCACTCATCTCACCAGGCCTGTTCTTTGCTCTGGAAAAGGAAGTGACAGGCTGTCCTCCCCTCAGGAAAGAAAAGCAACCCCATCAGAAATGTGCTTCAAGCTGGAATATGGCTATGAGATAATGAGCATAGACATTCCAGAAACTTCTGAACTCAGTTAAATTCCTCTCCTCCGGATGGTATACGCTCAAGGCCACCTAAGTGTGTCCAGTTCTCAAAAGCTGTTTGGAACTCTTTTTTTGTTTTTTTCAAGAATTTTTATAGGGCCAATAATATGCCAGGTTAGGAAATATATCTTACAACTTTACAGTTATGCTTGTTTAACACGTATGCAATATCATACAGCTAGGTTATTCTTCCTTACCAATTTTAGCACGAAATGTTGTTTGGCCATTTACAAAAACAAAGGTTGCCTTTCTTCATAATAAACTTGAGTAGTCATTTATAATTATAAAGTGCTTTAAAAACCTATTAAGTCTCAGTAGCACTGAGACAGTTGTGGTCCCCACTGCCTATGAAACAGGAAAACTGAGGCTTCGAGTCATCAAGGTACTTGCACTAAGCCCCTTCCTCAGACACGCTCTAGACAAGGTGCAGGGGTCTGGCCTCCCCTACCCACCCTCTCTGTGTGTCTGGCCGCCTCTTCACCCTACAAGAGCAAAGATTTCTCCTTCTTTAGAAGGACTGTTGCCCCAAATGAACTTCAATCATATCTTAAGCCCCTTGTGCTTGAATTTGTAAAGCCTAAGATGAGTTCAAGTGAATCGATGCCTCCATGAGCTTGGCTTTCTTCCATGGTGGGAGTTGGATTGGTGTCTAAATTGCCCACCTCTGAGCTTAAGAGATTCTGATGAGCTGCTGGGGAGGAAGCTGCCATGGGTGGAGGCTGCAGACAGGTGGTGGGACCCCGATGCCTGCTTAACTAGAACAGCTTTGCTTTGAGCTCTGCAATACTCCTTGTGTAGTTAGGAGGTGTGCCTTGGAAGGATGTTGTGTGGAAGACACATTGGCATTCTATCACTTTACTAAGACAAAAAGATCTAACCCAGCAGACCCTCAATCAGTATTGCTTAGAGTAGCAAACCTAGATGTAGTTTCACGCCAGCTTCCCCTCTGTGACATGCAGAGCTGTTCCCTGGGGACAAGAAAAGCAAGACCTAGTGAGGGGAAGGGATCTGACTGAGACCCTATAGCTCAGCGGAGCAATTAGATCCCAGGCCCATTGTTGTTGTGTGTCTTGTGCAAGCAACACAGCCTGCCTCCCCCTCACCTTCTGTCACCCGCTTGGTGCCTGTTCTCCTTCAGGTCTCAGCTCACTGACACTTTCATAAGAAACCTTCTCTGACCTTTAAGTTAATGACCCTCTTATGTAGCCTCGTAGCACCATGTACCTCTTCTCCATAACCTTTAGCACAGTTGTAACTTACATTTCTTTCTAATTCTTTGATTAATGCATACCTCCTGTTTTAGACTATGATCTCCGCAAGGGCCAGGTCATGTCTAGTTTGTTTTGATTTATTTTGCTCCACTTTTAGGTTCCCAGTAGCTAGCAGAATAGATAATTTAGAGTGAGTATTTACTATTCATTTGGTGAATGAATTTATTAATGAATTGGATGGATGGATGGATGGATGGATGACTCTGGAAACAGTGATGTTGAACATGACATGTGCTACCTCCGTGGTCCCTTCCCATTCTAACCACCATTGGTCCTGGCATTTCCTATCCAAGGCCATCGTGCTATTCTGCTGCTGATAGAGAATTGAGGAGGTGTTTGAAAGACTGTCATAGAGGAGAGAGAGAGAGAGAGAGAGAGGGAGAGGGAGAGGGAGAGGGAGAGGGAGAGGGAGAGAGAGACAGGAGTGAATGCAGGTCTGACAAAGAGAAACGCAGGACACATTTGTCATCTCAGTGTAGAATGGAACCCCTTCTCTGTCCACACTGTAGAAGCCTGGAATGGGTCACCCCAGAAGTAATCTAGCACAGGGTTTTGTAAAAGAACTCAAGTATGGATTAGAAGATCTCTAGGGCCCTTATTTTAGATTCGACGATTTCATAAAATGTATTACCTATGTAATAGTACTTGTCAAGACATCACTCCTGTATTCTAGCTGAGAATATTACAGATAGAGGAAGAGCACCCTGCCAACCACATTCCTATTGTGGCCCCGCCCCCTCTCCCATTCACTGTTTGTCAAGAGATGACACTATTAACAAGACCCAGAGTGTCAGTTAAGGGATTTGCCAAATACCAATGTCATTGGTATGTATATAAATTTCTCTTTGCTAATGTGAAATTCTTGCAAAATAAACTGACCTCGAGTCTTAGCCTATTCCACCCACTAGTCACTACAGAAATAAAAGCTATCCAGCCTAACACAGTCATGGGTAATTCTGCTCCTGAATAATGGAGCTGAGGAGAGATTATAATGCACTTTCTGGACGGGCAGCTGCTAGCACCAGATGGGTGACATGGTAGAGTGGAACATCTTCATAGTCCTCTGTTGTTTGGGGAGATGAGATCTCAGGATAGCGAGGGCTGGCCTCTTTATACAGTGAAACTGCTTGGAGTAAGGTCATTTACTTTTCAAAGGATTCCTATAGGGACCTGGTCCTCGACCCAATTGTTTGCAGCTGGTTGTTTAATAATGGATTTTTTTGGCTGAGGTTTCTTATCCAAAAATATCAGGCAGTCCTCTGTGACACCCCACACACACACCAGGCCACCTCCTGGCCACCATATCTGTACCCTCTGAACACGCGGACTGCTGGTGTGAACCAGCCACCTCTCCTTGGACTTGTCCAAGCTTGCTCACAGTTCCTTCTGTGCCCTTTGCAGAAATAGTCTTTCCTCTTTTCCATGTATCCACGTACCAAATTCATGCCTGGTCCTTGCAGCCCCAGTCCAAGTGGCATCCACTTGTGAAACTCTTCTGATCTGTCAAGAGCAGGGCAACCAACCCCTGCACGTGCCATGGGGAAGCCAGCTTGGTCCTGTGTGTGAGACACCTTCCCTCCCCTGCTGGGTCAGGCGACCTGAAAACAGGTCCCCAGGGCCTTCAGACCTGGAATGTGCATCCAGCAACTCTTTGTTTACATGAAAGGGAGAAGTCCAGGGGCTGCTCCTGCTACCTGTATCAGTTGGGTTTTTTGGCAGCAAGAATGTGTACTTTGCCCTTCGCCTGTCAAAACCCTATTTGTACTGTAATATCTAGATATAATCTCATCTCCTCTGCAGTCTGTTCTGACCTCTGAGTTGCTTTGGGTTTTTGCCATTTATATAACATTCAGCATTAATAGCTTCTTCCTGTTAGCTATCTTTTCATGTAAGAATGTCTTAAAACCCAAGTAGACATTGATAGTCTTGTGTCACTTAATCACAGGGGCACATTCTGAGAAGTACATTGTCAGGAAACTTTGTTATTGTGCACACACTATAGAGTATGATTACACAAACCACGACGGCCTGATGTCAGCCGGTGAGATTATCTTCTGGGACCACTCTTGTGTTGTAGCCCATCACTGACTGAGCCATCGTCAGAGTAATCATCCTTTCTGTTACTTTTCCTCACTCGACCACAGTGTCATGCACAGGCCAGCCACTCCATGAATATTCATGTATTGATAAAGCGATTCGTATACCTGAGTGTATCCCCCGCAGTGTGTACCTCAGCAGAGAATAAGTAATTGCTGATCAGTTGGCTGCCCAGAATAGATGATGGCTGATCAGTTGACCACATTGGGAAGATAATACTTCACCTGCCACACATCTGCCATTCTGTAACCTGACTCATCCACCAAAGTGTCAACAGACTTGGGAAGCTGCCTCCTAACACAGTTAAAGTTAGCTCTGTTGACTTTGGCTCTGCAACTCTGAGCCAGAGAGAAAAATAAAATCTCTTCCAAATTTTCCACACAACTGAAAAGCACAGAGCTTTGGAAATCTGTGCAAAAATGAAACATTACTTCAAGTTTATTAGAAATGTAAGAGAATCATTTGGAAGGCAGCAGAACAATTGAAAAGAATTTGTTGACTATGACCAAACCCTACCATTGCAGTCTAGGGATGGGGTGGGGGTAAAAATCATTTGTATGAAACTCACGGCACCTTGGTTTCCCAGAGAATGGAACCGTGGGGCTGTTTCACTGGGGAGGACGGAAACCAACCATGCCACCCACTGTCCGCAGCCTGCCTGTGCACGTCATGATCTGGTGTTTGCTTTGTCTCCAGTTTTTAATACAATGTGAGTTCCTAACTTCTATTCCATTAATAGTCCACTATGTTACTTGGGCCAACCCTCCCCTTCATTTCCTATGTGTGGCAAAATATAAACACCATGAAGTTTGCCACATCCGCCCATTTTAAACATTTTAAGCATCAGTGGCACTGAGTTCTTTCACTTTGTTGTCCAGCCATCCCCACCACCCGTCTCCAGAGCTGTCTCATCTCCCCAAATGAAATCTCTGTCCCACTGAGCAATTCCCCATCCCTCACCCCCACCCCAGCCCAACCCATGGCATTCCCCCTTCTACTTCCTGTCTCTGTGAGACTGACTACCTCTAGGCACACCATGTGAGTGGCACTGTTGAGTATTTGTCCTCAAGTTTCATCCACATTGTTGCATGTGCTGTCATGAATGATTTGTCTCTAGAGACCCGGAAGTTGAAGTTCAGATCATTGTCTCCAGCCACTCAGCTCTTTCTGTGTGGGCCAAAGTGGAGGCATTTAGCACCTTTAGCTACATAAATAATACTACCAGCTATTAACTAAGTGCCAGAACTACATGAAAACTTTACATATTCTTTTCATTCAGTCTTTTCCAAAGCCCTCTCCGTTTATTACCTGTATTGTGGAGTGAGCACCTGGATCAGAGACTACGAACCAGCTCAGATCCTGTGGCTGAGGAGTAGTACTCAGCGAAACTGAGCGACGCCATCAGAGTTTCCCCCCGCAGCTAGTTCCGTGCACCCACACACAGAAGGCCCAGGATGAAGTCCACCCTGCAGGGGGCGGGACAGGAGCTCCCTCCTCCTGCAGAGCTTGGCAGGAGATACGCTCTCAGAGAGCCAGAAGTGCCAGGGAGAGCTGGCAGTGAAACCTGGGGTGCTTTGAAACCCCCAGAGGACTTGGCGAGCGCTTGAAGTTAGAACGCTCTTCTGGTCTGCAGAGCATGTGTCTCTGAGGAACGCTCCTGTGATGTGGAGCCTGCGCGGCCTGGAGTGGTCCAGCTACACGCTCTCTCCCCACCTGGCCTGCCTCTTGGGAGGCCTGCACCCGAGTCGTCTTTCCCAAGGCGCTCACTGTCAGAGGAGCCATCTGGCCTGGTTTCTTGTGACTGACTCCAAGGAACAGAATCCCTCTAGGAGAAAGTTGCAGTGGTGAAAAGCAGCTGCCAGGCTCGCTCTCTGTGAAGGCAGGAGATGAGCTCAGCACAGCCCCTGGGAGGGCGGGTCATAGACACAGCGTCCTGAGCTCCGGAGCGGAGAGGGAGACAGAGCCTCACAGTTGGGTGCTGTGTGGATGGGTGGGAAGGAAGGGAGCCGCTGGAGGGGCCAGGCCTGTGCAGTGTCTGCTGAGCCCTGGAGAGCCGCCGGCTGGGCTGCGGGGTGGCCCCCTTGATCCACCAGCCACGCCCCACTCCGCCTGCCAAGCAGCTGGCTTCTTTGCTCCCTCGCCCCAAGACAGCACCTTGGGCTCGGCCCCAGCCCCTCCCCTGCATCCAGCAGGCTCACCCCTGGCCTCTGAGCCCATTCTTGGGATGCTGGGGCCGGAAGGAGCCGAGGAGCCGGTGTGGTCCGGACTCAGCCAGGCGTCACCGGGGCCTGGACCGGACCCTGGACCGGACCCTGGATCCCTGCACCCACACCAGCTCCTTCCTCTTGTGCACCCACGCTGCCTCTTTCTCAGGAAACAGCACCAAGCGTCTCCACCTCCTCACCAGCACTCGCTTAGGGCTTTCTGATAACCACCATCTTAACTGGGGTGAGATGGAACCTCATTGTAGTTTTGAGTTGCCTTTCCTGGGTGGCTAATGATTTTGAGCATTTTTTAATGTTAATCCAAAGGAAAATAAAACACTTACTTAAAGAAAGAAGAAAATCCCAGAGCAGTTCACTAGGAAAAGTGAAAAAGAGTTATCAGACCCTAAGTGTTATCCAAATTTCATTTTCTTCTCTTCCCTTTTGGCTTTTTAAAATTGGGAAACTAAAGGGGGAGAAAATAATTTACTTAGTTTCCAGATCACTTATTAAATTGTTCCCAACTCTGAGCAATAATTCATTACTCTCCTGGTGTTTGCAGCAAAAGTTAACAGTTCATGTTCCATAGGAAGGAAGCTCCAGTTATACTTGGACCGAGGTTAGGGTCTAAACCTGGAAAAACAGGCTAAAAGAAAAAATTAAACTAAACAGCTGGGGATGTAGCTGGGTACAAAGGCCCTGAGTTCAATTTCTAGTAGCACAAAAATTAATAAATTAAAGGAAAAAAAGCACAAAAAATATAACCCCTTTACCCGCAAAGTTTTATTCTTTTCTCCAGAAAGCCTCAGGGGTAAAGAAGGAAGACGGGCAAACTAGCAGGTACCGTGGCTCCTTCTTATCCATGGTTTTGCTTTTCTTGGTTTTAGTTATATGAGGTCAACCACTGCCCAAAAATATTAAGTGGGAAATTCCAGAAATGAACAATTTACAAGTTTTAAATTACACATGATTCTGACTAGTGTGATGAGATCTCAAGCCACCCTGGTGTGTCATAGCCAGGTGTGAATTATCCTTTGTCCAGTGTATCCATGGTATGGATGCTACCCCTCCATTTATCACTTAGTAGCCTTCTAAATCATCTGGTTGCCTCTATGGTACCGCAGTGCTTATGTTCAGGTAATGCTTATTTTATTCTTAATGGCACCAAGCTCAAGATTTTAATTGTTTATTGTTATAATTGTCCTATTTATTATCGTTAATCTCTCACTGTGCCTAATTTATAAATGAGACTTCATCATAGGTATGAATGTGTAGGGAAAAGTATAGAATCTATAAGATTTGCTGCTGTCCATTGTGGCATCCACTGGGGGGGTCTTGGATTGTGTCTCCCACAGAGAAGAGGGGATGACTGTCTGGAGCATGTACTTGGGCACCCCAGTGCCCCTCAACCTCCCTTACCCAGTCTTCACAAACCCTGGGAACCCTGGGAAGTTGTTGGCCTCTGCTACAGGTGAGGCCACTGAGGCACAAAAGGTTACATGAACTGCTCCACAACTGACAGGCAGCAAAGCACAGAGTGGGAGCTGGAACCAGGTCTCTACCTGCACAGTCAGGCTCTTCTCCCTGCACCGCGCTCTGTCAGCTGTGTTCTGAGGAGGGGGCACAGCATCACGGCCTCTCTACCCCATGCCTCTGGTGCCGCTGGTGGCCCCGCCACCCCTGAATGGACCCCCGGCCCTGCCTCATGGTGTCCGCTGCAGGCTCCAGACCATAGGCCAGAGGCACTCAGACGAGAGGGAGCTGGGGAGCTCAGCTCTGGCACCCCGCAAATGGGACCTCCCCCTCACAGCCCCTTCCCCCCACTGAGTAATCCCCGCGAGAACAGGGCTGTGTGCAGCGACTCTGGTCGTGCGTGGTCTATTCTGGGAGGTGTCAAACACGCCATCCAAGAACACGAAGTAGCTGCTCTGCCACAGATGGAGAAGCAGACTATTGTGGGTGCTGTAGGAGCTGGGTTGGGGCTGGATCGAGAAGAAGGGTTTTATTTCCAGTTCAGAGCCTGTCTGGTTGCCAGGGTGAGCCGAGTGGTTGTGTAAGGGAGGCGTCCCTCCCTTGCTAGCACTCTGCCCCAGGCTCCTTCCACCCCATGGGCTCAGGGGCCTCGATCCTCACAGAGAGCCCCTCGCCGGCACTTCGCCCCAGGGACGGTGAGTCTGCGTGGTACTTTTGGTAATTGTTCGTTTTGTCTCTTAGCAAGAAAAACAAGAAAGAATTGGGAAGGGATCGCTTTTATTTTTGTTTTGTTTCAAAATGTTTATCGCTCAGCTTTTTAAAATGTAAACGGAAATTTTTATTGGCACTCAAATGTACATGTTCTGGGGTCCAGCATGGGGTTGAATACCTGGGTACTCACATCATGATAAGAGCAGGGCACCAAGCACATCCATTACCTCAAACATCTGTCATTCAAAACCTTCTCTGAGCAGTGCTAAAACAGTCAGTTCATTGTTTTGGACCGTAATCACCCTGCTGTGCAACAAGTCCCCCGAACTCCTTCCTCCTGTCTGACTGTAACTCTGTACTGGTGACAAGTTCCACCTCCATATGATATGTTTTCCTGTGCCTGGCTTATTTCATTTAACATATGTCCTCCATATTCATCAGTGAACAATGACAGAATTTATCTTTTTCAAGGCTGAATAATATTCCTGTGTGTGTGTGTGTGTGTGTGTGTGTGTGTGTGTGTGTGTGTAAATAGATACATCCTGTTGTCCTCATTCATCCACTAATGGGAACTCAGGTGACTCTGTATGTTGGCTGCTGTGAACGGTGAATGGGAGTGCAGGTGTCTCTTCGACACCCTGATATCATTTCCTTGGACATATACCCAGGAGCGAGATTGCTGGACCCCGTTTAAGCAGTAATAATTTTGACAGTCCTTGCTGGTGCAGACCGGACCAATCTCAGCGCCCCTGTGTCCTGTGTTTGGTCTAAAGTTCTAGTTTGGGAGGAGGATGCACCCCAGAGGCCTCCTGCTGGCTCCCTTTGCTGTCTCTGCCACACGGGCAGCCTCCGTCACCCTGCTGCCAGTCTCTGCCACTCGGGTTGTGTCTGTTTCCCAAGCCAGGCCTCCTCTCGAGGGAAACAGGGGAAACAGTTCCCCAGCACAGCACTCCGGGCTCGTTCAGAGCCAGCATGGATGGGTGTGGCCATCCCAGGCCGGCATTCTCCTGGAAGGGAGCCCCCTTCACAAGCAGGATGACCTGAGTTCCTCCTTTGGCTCCTGTAGTGCCTGGCACCATACTGGGCACACAGCACTGTGTCAGTGCCCGTGACAAGCATCCGGGGGAGAGCAGGTCTCAGGCACCACTGTCCACCCTCCGCCAGCCCCAACAGTGAGACAGAAGGTGAGAGGGGACCCCAGAGAGCACCGTGGCCAACTGCCAGGGGCCCCCAAACTCTGGGGACAGTCAGGTCTTCCCATAGGTGTGAGTGGTGGCCCGGGCCAGCCACACCTGCAGCCCACTTGTTCAAGGCTGTGGCATGACTACAGGCCAGGTTTTGTCTGACCTGCCCAAGACCACGTGGCCTGTCCTGGCCAGCTCAGAAGTGGGTGATGTCCCTGAGGGGATCTGCCTGGGTTCCACTTGCTTTGCCCCATCTCTGAGAGGAGAAAGGAAGGTCTGGGGTTAGTATTACAGCCACAGAAAAATCCCTGTGGCTGTGAAGTTGAGCAGGCCTCTCACGACACAAGAAAAATAAGCGCTGGAGAGGGCGTGTCGGGTCCTTGACCACTCAGCCATAAGAGGCAGCTTGGGGAGGGGCTGGGCTTGCTGGCTGGCTCTGGCGCCCTGGTCTTTCTGATTAGATCAGCAACTGCCTGGTGGGTAGTAGGCCCTGCTGCTGTCTCCACACTTCTCAGAACGACCCAGATCTTCCCTGGGAGCTGAGTCACCACTGTTAAGCTGAGGCTGAAGTCACTGTCGGCACAGCACGCGTGTGACATGCATGGTCTGTGTGACATGATCATCCGTGTGCTTCCCACGGCCTGCAGGGGTGCCAAGTGTGTCCCTTACGAACACGGGTATTTTCTGTGCCCTGGACAAGGTGGAGGCAGGCTGGCATTGTCACCTGGGAGCCCGGGAAAGCCCTGAGCTCCGTCATACCTCCTGCCTGCTAAATCAGACCCTCTAGGGCTTGGCCAGGAAATCAGGTCTGTGGAAAGTGTGCTTCCCAGGGGACTTGGAGGCACCGAGCCCAGCAGGAACCAGCAGTCTTGATTATTCAAGCTAACAAGTCGTCACTGTCACCTGAAGCATTGCAGGGCACTCTGTAATGAGATGGGGGGAAGCCTGGCTCCCGGCTTGGTGCTCCGCTGTGGTTGATCCCAGGAGGCATTCCAGCTCCCATGAGTGCAGACACGCCTGTCACTCACCCACCTGCGTTCTGTCTCCTCTCCAGGACACACAGGACCAGCCACTGTTATCGCATCACCTACCGCCACATGGAGCGGACGCTGTCCCAGAGGGAGGTCAGCCACGTCCACCGGGACATCCAGGCCGCCGCGGTGCAGCAGCTGGGGGTGGAGGGCCGCTTTTGACGTCACCACGCTGGACCCCAGGGTCTTTGGAAAGAGGAAAAGATGCTCTTTGAAAGCTGGAGCATCAAGCATCTTCTGCTAGATGGGAACTTGTAGAAAATAAAGGGTTACTCCTGAGAAAGTGTCACATGCATTCACCTTACTCTGGGGGAGGGAAAGGAGAAAAGAACAAATGCTCCCTTTCTTCCCTGCTAGACATGCTTTGGCCCTTGGCTCTCAGCATGGTTAATTGGTCCTGGGATCTATTAAGCACCAGCCTGGTTTTGTACCTGACAGGCTCTCCCCTCGGTAACAAGCACAGCTGCACGGAGGGACGCTGAGATGCAGCTCTGGTGGCCGAGGTGTGACTCACGGGCACCGTGTTTACACAGACACAGGGTTTGTGGCAGCCCTGGTAGAGCAGGTCTACTGGCACCCTCTCCTCGGCAGCTCAGGTGATCATTAGTATTTTTTTGGCAGTATTTTTTTTTAAACTGCAGTGCGTACATAATTTTTTAAACATTTTTTAAATGCTGATACAACTTAATCGACTGCAGTGTGGCATAAATATGTACACTAGGAGACCACAGTCTTCACAGGGCTTGCTTCATGGCACCATTCACTGTACTGCAGTAGCCTGGAACCGAATTTGTGGTATCTCCACACTGTGCCTGTGCAGGGAGCCTTGGGAATCAGCTCTGTGTCTTCTGGCCTTCTCTTCTTTGTTCTGCAAAGAGCAGGCTTCAAAGAGGACACCCGGACTTCCCTTGAATGTGAAGGGAGCCACACCCCTGAGCCAGGCTAGACATCTATTAGCTGTGGATGAACTGTGGCTGGGAATCAGGTCCGGCCTCAGGGTGTGACCCAGCTGCTTCTGCCCTGCCACAGAGGAAAAGTGTGAGGGCTGCCAGTCCGGGAGGTTCCAGACGGCCAGGTCCTCCGTGTCCTTCCTGTTCTGCTCCCAGCAGGAGGCCTCTGCATGGGAAGGCGACCTTTAAGGAAGAATATGGGGCTTTGATGTTCCCCTTTTCCATCCGGCACTTTGTAGTCTGCCTGCTTCACTCATGACCAGTTTTAATAATCAGGTTTGCTCCCTGGTAAGATGCTGGAAGCTGATGGGGGCTTGTGAATGCTGGGATAAATATTTGATGAGCAGTGGCCATTATCAGCGAGCACTTGGGGTTGAGCAGTGCTTTTCAGAGGGAAGGAATGGCTTTAATAGCATCTTATCATGTCGTTAATGTGGTCCTTGCCCTTGGATTTCCAAGGGAATTCAGGAGGCCGCACACCAAGCCGGGAACCAAAGCCCTGTCCAGGGTCCTGGGACCCTGGCTCGATCCCTCCAGCAGGTGGATCTGTGTGGGACACGGGATGAGACCAGTCATTGCTTCCCCAGTGTCCTTCATCAGCATCCACACCATTCATGCCCAGCCCCAGGCTGCAATTTTGGATGACAACTTCATCCCCATGGCCAGTTAGGCATTTATTATTTTTCTGTCATGCAACAAACCAGGTGGGCACCGTGGGAAAACCCTGGCACCACCCAAGGCCCCCAGCTTGAGCAAATATCTGTCAGATACAGGACTCCTGCCCAGCCTGATCATGGGGTCTTTAACAGGCTGACACTCAGTAGGGTCCCCAGAGGCCTTTCTCAACCCCCCCCCAATATCTGTGAGAGCCAATCGACTGTTACCCAAATTTCCCCAGTAAGGGAACAGAGGTCTAAAGAAATCCCGGGACTTGGTGTTGTATATAACCAGGAGGCGACGGGCTCAAGCCTGTGACCTCCAAATTAGTAGTGTCTGCCTGAGCAGAAGCTAGCTGGATGCGGGTCTGGGCCCCCCGGCTGCTTGCCAGGCCTCTGCACGTGTCCATGAGAACCCAGCCCCTGAGGGTCCCAGCCTGCCCCTGGCATCTGTGGTGGGAATGGACCTGTCCCACCACCTGGGAGCTGGGGATCGTCCAGCTCTCCATGTTTTCATTGATTTTCACAGGGAATAAACAGTAAGGAGGAAAAGGAGAGGTGAGGTGATCCCTCGTATGAACAAACAGTCACTTGCAGCTCAAGACAGCAGCTCAGTCCTGGAGCCTCCATGCCCTCCTTGTCAATGGGGTGAGACAGTCAGTCCTGATGACCAACCGGACTGGCCCGAGAGCTGCCCAGGGATTGGTATAGTGGGGTGCCTCTGGGTGCATCGTGGGGCAGAACCTAGGGACTATATTGTAGCCCCAGGCCCCTCTTCTCTGGCTCTTCCCCCATGCTCTGCCTCCCAGCCACCATGAGGTGAGCAACTTTGCTCCACCACACCCTTCCACTGTGGTGTCTGCCTTGCAGCCAACCAGGGACTGAAACTGTGAGCTGGATCAAACCTCTGCACCTTTCACTCGGGGGTGTCTGGTATTTTGTCCCAGCAGTGGGAGAGCTGCCTGCACCAGGGATTCTGACTGCCTGCTTCGGAGGCTTGTGAGGACTGTGGGGCACAGACCTGGCACCCAAGGAGCCACTGGTAAGGGGTTGGCTCTGAGCTCTGAGGTCACTGGTTATTACTGAGGGAGAGAATGAGGAACCCCTGATCTGTGAGGACCAGAACAGATCTCGGGGGCACCCACACCTCCTCCTAACCTGTACGGCCTACCAGGGACACGGTCAGGTAGGATTGTAGAGCCAGGCTGAGAAGTGGGGTTTCCAGAGTGCTTTCCTAGCTCCACATGGCGCCACACATCCTGAACATGTCCCTGTGTGGACAGCCACCTACAGCTGCACCACACAAAGGGGCAGGAACACTCCACGAGGTGCTGGCCCCTCTGGGAAAGCTGGCCAGGCTGTGCCAGGGGCCCTTGAGTGTGATGCAGAGAAGTGTCCCAGCGCCCCATCACCTGGTTCCTCAGGATGTAGTGGCCCATGAGGGTTTTCCTCCACTCAAAGGTGGTCTACAAGCCCACATCCTGAGCTGGACACCCTGCACATGCCCCTGTCCCTGTGCAGGCCTGTCCACAGGTCATGAGAGAGGTCAGGGCTTCTGGTGACACCTGCGACAAGAGGAAGAGCAGTTCTCGAACACTCACATGCACGCCTACACCCTCCGAGGGCAGCCTCTGTGCTCCCCAAAGATCCCGCACTGGGGGACCAAAGGAATGGAAAGAATGGAAGGGGCAAGAGCCACTGTGGGTTCCTGCTCTGCTGTGGGCAGGAGGCTGCCTGTGGCTCTGTGAACGGCATCGCTGAGGCCCTTAGCTGTCCTGAGTCATCGTGTCGCAGGTAGACCCAGAGAAAGGAAGCCTGACGGTCTCAGGAAATTCAGGGTGACCCGAGTCACACCTTCAGTCACTTCCTGTCACTTCCGCAGCCAGACAGGACTGTCCCCTCCTGCCTGCTCTCATCCCTCCCCTGTCCACCTGCCTCCTGCCCAGCCCCTGGAAGAGACAGCCTGACCTGCCCTAATTCCCACCTGGGCGATGGACTTAGGCCTGGTCACTGGCTCACCTCGCCGGATGAGGGAAGCAGTAGCCGGCAGAGGACTGTCCCTGGCTGGGGCGGCAGGCCAGGTCCTGTCAGCAAGCACCAATCCCCCCAGGACCTGGTGGGCACAGGCCGCAGGGCCTGCTAATAGCACAGGAGGAGCAGCTCCAGGAGTCGGACGCAGAGACCCCCAGGGGAAGCAGAGCGCCATGGGCTCCCTGCCTCACGCCCTCGGCTGGTCTCGCCAGCCCTACTGTGCGCTGGCTGTGCTTCGGTGGCCTGGTGGCCTCGCCTATGCCAGGATCTCCACGAACTGACCCCAGGCTGGGCCAGGGGCTGTGGACACCCGCGGTTCTGCCCTCCGTGGGACTGGGGCTTAACAGGATCACATGAGCATGTTTGCAGGAGGAGAGCGGGCAGCCTCTGAGCTGTGGAGATCTCGTGGGCTTTGGAGCTGGGCAGACACAGGTTCAGTTGGGGTGCTGGGCGCCACCACATCTGCAGGGAGTGGGGCCGGATGGGCATAAGGGCAGCTGACATTGCGTGTGCCAAAGCTGCCAGCACTGGGCCTGGTGAGGGGATAGTGGAGGAGAAAGGAAATCTAGGTGTGCTTTCCCAGAGGGCCACGCTCTCCATGGAGCGCACTGCAAGCCAGGAAGCTTCTGGAAAACTGTGGCACCCCAGGTACCCCAGAAAATCTGACCTGGAAGGACCTAAGAGGTCACTTCGTCCTGCAGCCCCATTTTAGAGATGAATTGCTGAGGCACACTGAAGGGAAATTGCTTGCTAATGTTGGGATGATTTCATCGAAACAGTCCAGGCTAGCTTAAGCAATTATCTCATAGAATCAGAAGCCTAGAGGAGCCAGGGCTGGCTTTGGGGTCCCAACCTGTCACTGTGACCCCAGGCTCTTCCCGTTTTTCTGTTCTGTTACCTCTATGTTGGATCTGGCTTCTCCCCTTGGTTGGAAAAGGGCTGCAGCATCAAGCTATATATTCTCAGGCCACAACCTTCAAAACCTGGAAAGAAAAAAAGCAGGAAGTTGTAGTTTCTCTTCACAAATTTACCCTGGGGAAAACATTTCTCATCCTTCCCTTTCAGTCCCCTTGGCAGTATTGGACCCCATTCCAGGTCTGGTACCTTTCCTAAATGACGAGCTCCGCCATGTGCCACCTTCTCACAGAACAAGGCCTTACAGGCAGAGTGCAGTGAGGGCAGGGGTAGTGGGCTGGGTCAGCCAAAGCTTGGGGTCCAGCTGAGCAGTGTGTGCAGAGGCCGGGACAGCTGGACGAGCTTTCTTTGGCTTCTGTTTCTTGAAGAGATGGAGCCAGGCTGGGGCCAGTGGAGCAGCTCAGGAATGTGAAGGAGCCCTCCCCATCCCCAAGACCTTCCCACCTGGGCCCGGCAGAGAGGGCAGTGACCTAGGGATGAAAGAGCCCAATGATGCGCCCTGCAGAGCTGCACTTCCGGAAGCATGTTTACTCACTGCCAGGGCTTTCCTTCAAGTGTTTTAAGCTCTTTACAAACATTAATTTATTTACAGCCATAACTCATAGTGAGGTAGATGGCAAATATGCTTTCCAGGCCCCGGTGAGGCGGAGGGGCTGGTTCACATGCATACACAAACCTGCAGGGCCTTACTCTGCTGGGACCTGGAACCAAAATGCTAAGCCCTTTGCCACTTT